CCAAGCCCAGACTTCTCGTTGAGAGGGGGTGTCAATTGCATTCAGAGACCAGTTGATCAAATCCATACATATTCATAAAGGCAGGAGGGTTTGCCAACTAACCATCAATGTTAATGTGTACATTATACAAATTGTTATTCAAATTATTAATTTGTCCTTGATAGGTGTCTGAAGTGTGGGAACTTATTGGTATAGATCTTACTGGACCTCTTCCTAAAACTTCAAGCGGCTTCCAGTATATACTTACTGCAACTGACTACTTTTCAAAATGGGTTGAAGCTTGTGCTTGTGCTCCATTATATATTGACATGGCTGCCCCAAAAGGATTTTGTCAGACCAAAGCAGGGAGTTTGTGAATGAAGTAAAATTTAAAAAGTAAAATTATTTTTAGTTACATTTTTTAACTTTACTTCACTGGGGTCAAATATTTTTTTCTTGTGTGCTTGTATAAGAAGTATAAGAACCTTGTCCTTATCTGTTGAAGCTCAACTATGATCTTTGCAAGTTATTGCAAATTGAAAGAAGTGTAACAGCAGCATACCATCCACAGACCAATGGCCTAGATGAAAAGACCAATGACAACATGAGAAGGTATGCCTCATTTTTTTATCAGTTTTTAATAACATTATTTCAAACGTAATTGTTACTTAATAATTTATTAATTTCTTTACTTCTAATTAAACTTTCATTACTGTCTTTACATATTTCTATGCCTGCATTTAGAGCCCTCCGAAAACTGGTGAATGACCAGAAGAATAACTGGGATGTGTATCTAGATCCCACCCTGTTTTCACTGCGGTCAAAAGTACACACCACAACAAAATACACACCTTTTTTCCTGATGTATGGAAGAGAGGCAGTATTTCCATCAGAAGTGCTGCTGAGTGTTTGTCAAATTCTTTCTATGTTAGAACTAAGAATTGAAACCATTTAAGAAAAAAAAAACAGTAATTTGTTTATGAATATGATTTCATCTTGTTTTAATTGCTAATATCTACAAAATATTAGATTTCGAACATCATTCTGCCAGACGACAAAAGGTACAGTGACTATGTACAGTCTGAAAGTGAAGCACGACGTGCAGTTAAAGAAACTGCACAAGAAAACATGGCAAAGTCACAAGACAAGCAAAAGGTTGCATACACCAAGCGGGCCCTGAAAAAGTACAAAAAAGTTGTGTACAATGTAGGGGATCAAACGCGGGCGAAAAGGAGGAAGACTTGAACCGGATATTTCAGGTCCCTATACAATTTAGACATCAGTGAAAAATGTGTTAGACTGAAAAACGCTGAGGGAAATACTTTAAAAAGTCATTACTACATTAACAGTATTGACTTCATTAAACCCTGTAGAAGAAGCCACTCTGTCCAAGTCTCAACTCCAACTGAACCCGTTGAGAGTAGCCCAACTACTGATATGTGGCCTTGCAGTCCTCAGCATCATCATGAAGCGCTGCAAAATAACAGACCCTCTCTCATACAGCTTGCACCAAAAATAGCTCAGGTAAAATCAGTCCAAGCACCAGAAGAGCTTGTACCAGTAACCCCCCAGAAACCCAGCATGCAAGAAAAAGGTGGCATAGCTAAAAATCTCATTCTGACCGGTTGGTCAATTGTTGCCAGTTTGGCTAGTCGAATGGATAGAATGTTTTATTTTCCTCTCCCCTCTTGCTAATTTTGACCTGTTGGTCAAATTTTGGCTAATTTCTGATTCATAGAAAGCGGCTCGCCTCTGGCATGTTTATTTTGTTGGCCCGTTGGCCCTTGTCTGCTTGTGGCCCGTTGGCCATTCACCGTGATTTTCAAATGGAAACTGTTATTACTAAAGAAACTTGTCATATTTTGTTTTTAGTGAAGTGGCTTTGGGCTGCAAAAGACACTGTAAAAAGTCTGTAAAAATAATCTTCTTTTAATCCAAACAGGTCATTGATGCATACCTGCACTGCCTCATTAGGAAACAAAAGGCATGTAAGAATGTATGCCGGTTATTTCACAAAAGTATTTTATACAATTTTGTAATCTTTAAAAAAAAACCTCTTGCATTTTTCCGAAACCCGTGTATCAGTTGTCTTGCGTTGTTGCAAGCGCTCTGTTTTCTGGGAAGTTTAAATATGTCAGCAAGATAATGTAGATCTTATATAGGTTATATAATGCATGTTATGTAAATTAATCTAAACCTTTATAAACTTAAAAATATTTCACAGATGTTGTTTCCGGCTGAGGACATTTGGTTGTGCCCACTGAACTCTGGTGCACACTGGATCCTCGTGGTACATGTTCACACCTCATGTGTTTTTTTCTCTTTTTTGTTTTATTGTTCTTTTTAGCAGCATATTCTTATTTTGAAAAATGCTTACAATTGATTATGTTTACTTAAGTGAGTGTAATACACATATTCTACTAAACACAATTTTTATTTTAGGTTGTCAAAATCTCCTCACAATCAGTACTGCTGTTAGACCCTCTTGGAAATTAAGGTTATTATGAAAGGAAAATTATGCGTAACTGGAGGTATTCATCATTCGTTAATTATCTGTTTTGGGTTGTTTGGTTTGTGTGTGGTTTTTTTGTTTGTTTGTTTGTTTTTTAATTTAGAGCAAAATGCTGGCTACATTTAAAAACTCGTTTTATTTTTATTAGGAATTTTCTGAAGATGAAAGGAAAGGAAGAGTCCTGAGTGGATTGGAAAATGGAGACTCTGCCACACAACAAGCAGATGGACTCCAGCAGTTGTGGAGTTTTAGTGTTGAAGGTGTTTTATAAGCAATTGTATTTAGTTATAGATAACTAGAATTAAGTTACTTAATTGCAATTACTTTAACATATTTTACAGTTTGCCGAAAATTACCTTCTGAGTGGAGAGGTTACTAGGGTGCTGTCCACTCCAGAGGCCGTTGGGCTGCAACGCACTGAAATTGCTTGCGAACTGCTAGAACATCAAGGTAAGTTGAGTCACATGCTTTTGTATTGCTATAGCACTTTCAGTTTTGTTTAAAAACTGTTAGGTTGAATGCCAGTGTGTTTCTAGGTAATGCTGATGACTACTGTGTGGTTTGTTCCATGCTGGAAGACGATTCTGAGTCCAGTATGATTGAAATGGTAAAACAAATAAACCATAAATGCAATATACAGTGGTTTGCAATAGTATTTGGCCCCCTTGAACTTTTCCACATTTTGTCACAGTACAGCCACAAACATGGATCAATTTTATTGTAATTCCACGTGAAAGACCAATACAAAGTGGTGTACACTTGAGAAGTGGAACGAAAATCATGATTCCAAACAGTTTTTACAAATAAATAACTGAAAAGTGGGGTGTGCGTAATTATTCAGCCCCCTGAGTCAATACTCAGCTGCCAGTCTTTTAGGGTATGTCTCTACCAGTCTCTAGATGTGCAAAGCTGGTGGAGGAGCAGGAGCAGCTGAAGATTTGACTCTTGTTGTTGGCTACAAAGAAACAAGCTGTCTCTTAACAGCCGGCTTGTTTACAAATGACAAGTCGCTATTTATGCTCACTGAATTTTGCCTTGTAACTAACACATGCTGTAAACATAACAAGTTTAAATATATGAGTGGTAGTGATTTTAACATAAGGCGTGAAACTCTCTGCAATTCTACTAGGATATAACCTGTAAGTGTAATAAAACAAGTAAATGCCAGTATATTTTTTACATGTTCTAAAAGACATTAACTTACTACATAATTCTGTTCCACATATTTATTTTGTAAATAAAAGTGTTCCATCAAATGATAATAATAAAAACACAATATGTCTGTTCAGTAGCTGACAGAGACAAAGTATTATATAAATGCAAGTTCTTTTACGATTAAAATCAATGAAAACTTGTAAGGTTATAATTGCAGTTGAACAACAAAAACCTCAATGCACAGCATATTCAAGGCTTTATCTCCATAACGTTCATAAAAAGTACAAAGTACAAAAGTATCTTGGATTAAATATTAGCCAGTCAGTTTCTACTGAAACAATAGAACAATAAAAACAATAAAAAATGAGTAGTTGGTAAAACCTATAACACAACACATGATCTTTTTGAATGTCTAAAGATTTCTTTCTTTAGCAAATTGTAAGGATGAATTAGAAATGATATGTCTGTAGTATCCATGGATCAATGCAGAATTGCATAAATTAAACACAACCTCTTTTTCATACACGCCCGCACACACTACTCTTTTTTATGTGGTCGTGATCAAAGTACAAACCAGCCAGAGGATTCTGAACGCAGCTTACCGAGGGGAGAAGGGTTGTTTTGATAAGTGTAGAGGTATTTACTGAGAACAATCACAGACCTACAGGTATTTAAGTTTTTGTTTTTTCGTTGAGTTTATTAAAGATTGTTAAATTGTTGGTGCTATGTTTTATTATATTCTGAGACTTTTTTACAAATGATTAATAACAAAGGAAAAAAAATTCAGAAGGTCAGGAGGACTACATGTAAAACTCTTATCCTTGGTATTGCAATTATATTTTCTGAGATTACACTGCAAAATGGTTAATTTTGTTTAGATAAATACTCTTTTTATTTTTGAATAGTGTTGTCTTCTGTTATGAATAACAATAATTCAAACACATTTGCTAAAATGTGATACATGTGATACTTTTAATTTTTAGCACCCCAGGACCATTCATCATGGAAGGACTATTTCTTAAGCGTCTGCTCAGAAGAATCACTGCTTTGCTTTTCCAACACACTGCAATTGTACTTCTCCTGACACTCGTTTGCAAAGGTAGCATTTACACATATATCAGCAAGTATTCAATTTAACTGTTAAGGTTTGATTCTTGGAAACAGAAAGTAAGAAAACTGTATAACTGCTGACTCCTCCCACTATTTTTATTCATCAACTAAAATAACTTATTAAACAGGACAACAAGCACATTTTGAAGTTCATTTAAAATATAGTGTTCCGATTCTTTGTTGATGTGCTAAGAACAAACAACCAATACTCAGAACAGGTCCAGTTAACAACGATTGTTTATTTATCTTGCATGCAAGGGAGATCCACACAACACCACCTTCTGCGTAGATCTCAAAGAGGAAGCACTTCGATACACAGTTTTATATATCAGGGTTCATGCCTCTTCATGCATAAGCACAGTATATTTATCATCCATCGCCTCGCTGTTCCCTGTTGTTCTTAATATGAGGCCTATAATAGTCTATGACACATCCTGAGTGCATCCTGTTCTGCACAGTTTTCAGTCTTGCTAAACAATCTAATGACCTATGACACAGTTTATAACTCAAAGGTGGCCTTTAATATACTGACCCGTTATTAACTGCATAAAACAAAATACACAGCAAATAAGCGCTAAAAAATATATTTTCCCAATAACAGTTACTGTTTTTCAGGACAGTCACAGGAGATCAGTCCTTCTCAGCCATTAATAGTAGTGGCTGGTGACGACGTTGTTTTGCCATGCCAGCTGGAACCTCCTGTGGATGCTGTTCAGATGACAATTGAGTGGGGAAAACCTGATTTGAACCCTGGATTTGTGTTTGCGCGGCACAATGGACAGGAGCTTCAGACTGACCAAAACACAGCCTACAAGGGAAGAGTGTCACTGTCCATCAATAAGCTAAAGCACGGAGATGTTTCACTGAAGCTGTCCAAAGTGAAAGTCTCTGATAGTGGAAGATACAGATGTTACATTCCACAACAGAGTAAAGAATATTTTGTTGAGCTTCTAGTTGGTAAGTAAATAAACTCTGCTATATCTTCTTAATGAGCTATGAGCAGGTTTTAAATACTGCTGCTTTGTCAAATTATTGCTGTCTCAGTTATATGCATGATGTTCTTTTGCATTATTGAAAATAGCTTGCAATAGACATGCAAATCCACCAGGTCCATTCCACGCTTTGCCTCTCCAAAGTTTGAAATGCATACTTATGCAGAAGCTGCAATAAGCTAGAGTAACGGTAGATGGAGATATTGTATTTCAAGCCAACATAAAAATAATCACGAGAAAGCATTTAAATAGACAAAACCTTTGACAATAAATGGTGAGGATTGCTTAAACACATTACTTGAAACTATGCCTCGAATTCTCAAAACAGTAAACTGAAAGATTAATAGGCTGTGTTTTGAGTTTGTTCAAAAAAGAATGACTTCATAAAGGAACAAAATATATATCACATATGCAGGACACCTTAAAGTAGTTTTTTTAATTAAGCAGCAAGGCAGAACAAAATCAGGGCTGTATCAAGACACGCGGACTAAACCCCAATTCAACCAGACCCAGAACTGATCCTCAATTAAATCAGGACTACTTAGGACTTAACCAAGACAGAACCAGAATCAGAACTAGATGATAGTAGCACTAAAAATCATCATAGACGTGCACTACACTTATTTTTTAATTCTACCAAAGTACACTATTTAGATTCAGAAAAGTTTACATAACTATTTAGCCTCTTTGTGCAAACAAGCCTGCATAACTTAATAAATATAGAATTTGAAAAGTAACAAATGGTATCTAAAAAGATACACTAGGTACTAGATACATGTTCTGATGAGTTTTGGTAAACAACCATTTGACTAACATGTCT